GGTTGAGAACCACTTGACTTATGCTGTATATGCCATATGTGCTATCTCACTGAAGTTCCTTCTGACTACACTATATTGTGTATCTTTAGAAGTTTTTTAAAAAGAGAGGATTTATTATATGTGTGTTTTTGTGCATTTATGTATGTATATGTACTGTATATATGACTGGAACTCTTGCGGACCAGAAGAGGGTGTCAGATCTTCTAGACCTGGAGTTGCAGGCAGCTGTGAGCTATCATGCCAGTATTGGGAACCAAACCCCAGTCCTGGGCAAGAGCAGTAAGTGTTCTTAACTGATGAGCCATCTCTCCAGGCCATAGCATCCCATTTTGTCACTACCTGCAATTACACCATTGACTTGTCATTTGTACACTAGGGATGTCAGATCCATGTTTCAGACACTTATGCTCCCAACACCTGAAATGTAATCATGCCATGCAGGTCTTGTACAGCTGATGTGAAGGAATCTAATTAGAAATGACTTCAGTATTCAAGAATAATTTACCTTTTTAAAATAAAAATTATTTTTTGTGGCAAATATTACTCTGTAAGCTCAAGGCTGTCCACCTTCCAGCGTCTAAGAAGCATGGTCACAATGTGTTTTGAATGTAGGAGTTGGTCATTGGTTGGACGTGTGTGTGTATGTGTGTGTGTGTGTGTGTGTGTGTGTGTGATATAAAATGACTCTCAGGTTTTTGGCAGGCGTGGTGGAGATGTAAGGAAGATGGTAGACACACATCTGTGGGCAAGAGTGTAGTTTGAACATCTGGATGCAGGAGCTTTACCCCTACTGAGGATATTCTTCAAGCAGATAAAAGGGCCCATCCTGGCACATGCTGGTTAACATGATTAAAGGCTTGTGCATCTTGTGCAACGATGGGTTCTTCTTGCTGCTTCCTCCTGTTCATTCTAGTGCTACTGGATTGCTTCACTTAAACCTGAGCAAAGGGTCTCTCTGACACCATCTATAGATTGGAACTAGCAGATTAAAACTGTTTCCTTGCCGGGCGTTGGTGGTGCACGCCTTTAATCCCAGCACTCGGGAGGCAGAGGCAGGCGGATCTCTGTGAGTTCGAGACCAGCCTGGACTACCAAGTGAGTTCCAGGACAGCCTCCAAAGCCACAGAGAAACCCTGTCTCGAAAAACCAAAAACAAAAAAACAACAAAAAAAACTGTTTCCTTGACTCTGGGTCATCTTGTCCTGGAAAAAGTGACCCCAGTCAAAGAAAGCATCAAATCAATTTTGGTTTTTGGTAGCACTTGGGGTTGACTCCAGGTGCAGCATGCCAAGCACTCCATTGTAACTGTTTTTACAAGGGCCTCACTCAGCATCCCAGTGTTGCCTGAAACACACTTGGAAGCCTCTGGAACAATGGAAGGTAGCCTTTCCAGTGGTTTGGGAAAATCAAATATAGCATCTCTAGCCCCCCCAGGTATTACATCCTTACTTATGAATGAGAAATAAGACTTAGCAACACCCTTCGCTCCTTTTTTTCCTCCTTGAGAAGGTTCATGCACCAAGAAATTCCAAGGTGTATTTATGCCAATGATGAAGTAATATGGTGAAAGGACCATTTAAAATAACTAGGGAAAAAAACTGTTTTGTCTGAGACCCAAAATCCAGCCAATTGAATGTATTTTGATCATTTAAAAATTCAATGGGGTTCCAGGACAGCCTCCAAAAACAATACAGAGAAACCCTGTCTCGAAAAACCAAAAAAAAAAAAAATCAATGGGCAGCTAGGTGGTGGTACATTAATACCAGTACTCCGGTGGCAGAGGTAGCTGGTTCTCTGTGAGTTCGAAGAAATAATTCAGTGGGAAATTACTGTGTTGATACTGCATTTGTTACATAATTTCTATCTTTATACAGCATCTATTTCTACGTCTGTGTGAAAGACAAAACTGGGATATAGGTGCCCTAGATTTTCTGTTGCTGTGAAGTGACACTATGACCACAACTCTTATAAGTGAAAACATTTAATTTAGGTGCCAGCTTACAGTTTAGAGTTTCAGTCTATTATCATCATCGTGGCATTCAGGCAGACATGGTGCTAGCTACATCTTAATCGAAAGGTAACAGGAAGTGGACTGAGTACCACACTGTGGGGAACTTGAGCAAAAAAGATTTCCAAGCCCATCCCCACAGTGAGACATTTCCTCCAACAAGGCCATACCTCTAAAGATGCCACTCCCTTTGGGGGCCATTCTTCCAAACCACAATAGGAAATGTTATTTTTTTGTTTTCCATAAACTAATGGTGTGTAGGTGGCTATAATTAAGAATAACAGAAATAAAGATGGATAATGGGTTATGAAGGGATGATTAATTCAACCTCGGGTGGGTATCCAGTGAAATGCCACAGCTACAATAACACTGATTGGGATTTTGAAGGATGGATAGCTCACCAGGCAGATAAGACTGAAGTTACACAGTTAGAAAAGAAATTTTGGCTGGAGGAAATGGCACAGGAGGAAGAATTTAAGGCCACAGACTGGGTGGTCCATCCCTGTAATCCCAGAATTCCCGAGGTTGAAGCAGGAATACTGCCCAGAGTGTGAGGCCACTATAGGCTATACAATGAGCTCCAGGCCAGCCTGGGTTAGAGACCCTGTCTTAAAAAAAAAAAAGAATAAAGCAAGGCAGACATTTGGGTCACAACATGAGGAATTTTGAATCTCATTCAAATTCCAAAAGCTACAGGGCTGCCTGCGAATTAAAATGGACTTTTTGGGAAAATCAGTATCTTAATTATTGTAGACATTAGTTTTGTCCTTCCTGGTCTGACAGCTGTCCAGTCCCAAATAAACACAGAGGCTTATATTAATTTTAAACTGTTTGGTCTATTGCTCTGGCTTATTACTAACTCTTACAACTTAAATTCACCCATAATTATCTATGTTTAGCCACATGGGTTGGTACCTTTTCTCAGTAAGACATTCTCATCTTGCTTCCTCTGTCTCTGGCTGGTGACTGACTTTTCTCTGCCCAAAATTCTCCCAGTCGACCTGCCTATACTTCCTGCATGGCTACTGACCAGTTGCCATTTAATTAAACAAATAGGAGTGACGAATCTTTACAACGTACAAGACTAGTATCCCACAGCAAGTTACTGCTCTATTGCTGTGAGGAGACACACGACCTAGGCAAGTATAAGAGAAAAGCATTTGGGGCTTGCTTGTTATCATCATGGTGAGAAGCAGGCAGGCGTGGCACTGGAACGGTAGCTGAGAGCTTTACATCCCGATCCACAGGCAACAGGCAGATTGTAGAGACTCTGGGCCTGGTGTGGGTTTTTGAAATCTCAAAGCAAACTCCTAAGGACATATCTCCAACAAAGTCACACCTCCTAATCCTTCCCAAACAGGTCCACTCCTTGGTGACTAAGCATTCGAATATATGAACCTACAGGGACAATCATTATTCAAGCTGCCACAGTCAGTGTTTTTAGAAAGGTAGGCATGTCACTTGAATTCAAATGAGTAATTCTCTTGAAGCCAAAAATAGATAATTAAAAACCTCTGTATTCATCCCGGCTGCCACCAGCCTGCAATATTTGACTTGAGTACAAGGCCACCTTATTTAGCTAATATTTTGCAACGTGGAGACAAATGAGGAATCATTTCTACCTCTTAGCAGTCTCGACATTGCTTAAAAGTCTTATAAGATTATATTTTAAAGACAGTCCCACACTTTGCTTCATATTTTAAGGATTCTATAACACAAATTCTGGCACTAAATACTTTGTTTTAATCTTTGGAGTTTTTGGATTATATACAACTACTAGAGATTGACTTAAGTACCTCAGGAGAAGCAGTTACTTTCTCTTTGTAACAGCCCTAGCTGTTCTGGAACTTGCTCTGTAGACCAAGCTGCCTTGAACTCAGAGAGATCCACCTGCTTCTGCCTCCCAAGTGCTGGGATTAAAGCCACCGCCTCCCAGCCTACTTTGATGTGTTTTTTCGGAAGGGGTAATTCCAGGTTGCCCTCAACAATCCACCCTCCTTCCTCCTGAGTTCTGGGACTACAGTGTGCATCAAGTCAGCCAGGCTGAACTCTTTCTATGGCATCTTCTGTAAACTTTCCAAACCCAGTCTGGACACTTACTAAAGTCAAGCGGTTGACGATAAAAAAATCCCATTTTCTTCTAAGAGTCTTGCAGGAAACCGTAAAGCCCAACTCCTGAATATGAATTGTAAGAGGTTTCTTAACGAGTAATTTTTAAATCCTGGATCACACGCCTAACGGTGTTTCATTTCTCTTTTTATAAAATCGTCACAACACCGCAAACTCAGAAACCTCGTAAAGATGATTCACTGACATTTACACATCCTACTTAATACAAGGACTGGAACTCATTAAAAATCCGAACCCTGGAGTCCACTGTAACCGCTTCCCAAGCCCTAGCAACTTCAAAGAATCGTGGTCGGCTTTAGGCTCTTCTAGTAACGGAAGTAAAGCGTTAAGAGTTGGAGAGTAATTCTGGGAAAAAGCAGCCTCGGCCGCCTGTGGCGCCGCGGGAGAGCCTCAATGTCACCCGGAGCCGGCGGGGACGACAGACGGAGGAGCGCAGGGCCGGTGCACACCGTGGCCACCGCCCCACGCAGGGCACCGTGGACCGAGCCGCCGAGTCCGGAGGGCGGCTTCCCCTCCAGGCCGAACCACACCCCTCCTGGCCGACCGCTCGAGCGAGCCGCAGCCGAGGAAGAGCGAGTACCTCCAGGAATCCGCGGGAGGGTGGGGCCACGGGAAGGGGTTGGGGGGAGACTCTCTAGCCGCCGCCTCGAACCGGCGCTCCTTGTTCTCGATGGTCCCCGCGCGACCCTCTTGGGCACGCCACTTCCGGTTCCCTTTAAAGGCCCGCGGCGGAGGAGCGTGAGACCGAGGATAAAAGGGAGCGAGGGGGCGGGACCGCAGGGGCCGGTGGGCGGGGCCTAGCGGTGGAAGGGGCGGAGGAGGCGCAAAGGGCGCGCTCTGGCGTCACGTGACCGGGACGCGCCGTTCTTCCGTCGGCCATTTTAGGTGGTCCGCGGCGGCGCCATTAAAGCGAGGAGGAGGCGAGAGTGGCCGCCGCTGCTACTTAATTCTTTTTTTTTTTTCCCAGTGCGGCCGGGGCAGAGTGAGAGAGCGCGCCGCGCGAGAGTGGGAGGCGAGGGGGGCCGGCCGGGGAGAGGCGCAGGAGCCTTTGCAGCCACGCGCGCGCCTTGTCTTGTGTGCCTCGCGAGGTAGAGCGGGCGCGCGGCGGCGGCGGGGATCACTTTGCTGCTAGTTTCGGTTCGCGGCAGCGGCGGGTGTCGTCTCGGCGGCGGCAGCAGCACTATGTCGGAGGAGCAGTTCGGAGGGGACGGGGCGGCGGCGGCGGCAACGGCGGCGGTAGGCGGCTCGGCGGGCGAGCAGGAGGGAGCCATGGTGGCGGCGGCGCCGGGGGCAGCGGCGGCGGGAAGCGGGAGCGGCGGCGGCTCTGCGGCCGGAGGCACCGAAGGAGGCAGCGCCGAGGCAGAGGGGGGCGAAGATCGACGCTAGTAAGAACGAGGAGGATGAAGGGTGAGTAAGGGGCGGCCCCGGGCAGCCGCTCGCCAGGCCCCCTCCCCCTCCCCGCCATTAGGCCTCGCTCCCGCGCCCGCCCGCCCGCTCGCTCGCAGGCCCGAGTGCGGGCGCCTGCTCGGCCGCCCCTCTTGTACCTCGGGCTCCCCGGGGCCTGCATTTCCTCCTTCCCTGCCTGCTCGCCCCCTCCCCCATCACACACGTTTCCACCTTTAGCTGTCACCATGCTACTCCGCGGCCCGCCCTCTTTCCTCCCTCGCCGTGGGTCTCCTCCCACCGACTTAGCCGCCAGGATTTTTTCCCGCCTGACGGAGCTACCCCCCCCACCCCCCATCGCTCCCGGATTTCTAACCTCTTAGGCTTAAAAATGCAAACGCACAGAAATGCTAGGGTCCTCAAGGTTTGTTGGGTGCTTCACCACCACCCCGAGACGGTGCGATTATTTATACGCTCTTGCTTTCAGGAAGGTGTAGGCTGTCCACCTTTCTTTCTCCCGCGTAGGCTTCAGGCCAGTGGTTTTTAGCATTTTAAATAAGTTTCGCCTTAGGACTCGTTCGTTCTGTCCACCTTACGCCGTCACCACGGCACGCTCACACGGGCCCTGCATTGGTGCTGTAGACAGACTGGGCCTGCCGATGCCCCCGTCTCCTGCTGGCGCGTTGGTCCGGCTCCTCGGGCTCCATTTAAGTCCTTCCTGGTCGATGGGGCCTGCTCTTGACTGGGGCTCTTCTACCTCCTGCCTGCGGTTGCCCTTCCTCCACTCTGCAGAGTTATTCTCCCTGTGCACCCTTTCCGCGCCCTCAGATTCTGGGTTGCCTATTTGTACAGATTGTAATCTTTCCTTACTTACTCTGTGCAACTTAAAATTTTCTCTCCCGCCTTTTCAGTGCCCAGGAGCCTGTTTTGGTTTCTTCTCAGTCTCGCCCTCTATTACTATAGTTGAAACGAGCCCACTCGCCCTTTAAAATACAATAAATTCTGCGTTGTTCAATGGGTTAGTTTTTCACGATTTTTTTCCAATGCTAATTTGCTTCCTCTAATTTGAAGTAACTTATATTGCCACCAAAAGCTGCTTTTAATATGTTAAAATGCAGCCTTTGGGAGCGGAGTATCATACAGGAGGTTAGGAAGGTGGGCTTGATCTGGGTCCTTAGATTTTCATGTTCCCATTACAGATTGCAGATCTTGAATTACCCGTTTCGAAACTTTTTATAATGGGGCTGTGCGTATGCAATTTTTTTTTTTACTATAAGAAAAAGTTTTGGTGGGAAGTAAAAATGTCATTTAAACCTGATATTAGAAAACGTGATTTCCATTAGTGGTTAAGAGTATAAGATTTGTAGGGATAGTGGGGCAACAGAGAAGTACTTGGAACATAGTTTTAAAGTCTAAGTTCACACTGACACTCTTCTGTCAGCTACTGGTTGTGCTGGCTTAAATGGGGAGTTGGAGGGGGGAGGGGAAGTGCATTTAATTAAATAGAACTAATCTGGAACGGTAATGTGGCATAGTTTTAGAAAGGAATTACATATTTGGAGAATGAAGTTTTTAACATTTTGGATTTTGCTTTCTGAATTCTGTTCTTGGGACAGAGGCACCAAAATGGCTAATTGTGTAACGGGGCAGGCTTTCTATTATCCCTGAGTTTTGAAGTTACAAAATAGCTAGTTGTCTTTGTAGTTATTATTTTTTTGTTGAACTGACTAAATGAATTAGTTTTTAACCCTAACAATGTCAAAAACTAAAACTAGAATTTTGATTGGTTGCTGTACCGGTTGTTAATTCCCTAGCCATTCAAACTCCTCCCCACGACACACTGAAGCAGCGACGGCACAGCGGGAAGAATGGTAAAACTTTTACATTTTATTTCTGTCTTATAAAGATTTCAGTAGTCATAACATGCAGAGGCTCAGTAATTTAGTTGCCCATTGAGTCCCAGGAGACTTTTAGACATTAATAACGGTAGGATGAGTCTTGTGCCTGGGATATAAAGCCTTTCTAGATATCCTAAGTAATCTGTGGGCAAAATTGATGCCATTGCGTGGAATATGGTTTGTGGTAATGCATGATGTAATAACAATTTGACCAAACCTAAACTAAATGTAACTAGTAATTTTTCTTTTAAATATGGGCAAGCAGAAAAGTTAACTGTATTTTTATTTAGTTTTTATTAGGTTGAAATATTTTTGTTTAAATTCTAAGCTTAATGCTAAATATAAAGGTTACTTGATAGAAATATTGTGTGTTGAAATGTCTTGCATGTTATACTGAAGTATTCTGTCAAGTAGACAGTTCCTAAAGCGTTACTGTGCTTTATGCAAAGTCCTTTAACTTCAACAGTATAAGCACTCAAGCATTGTGTATGTACTATTCATAGGTGGGCTAAATGTGGCTTCCCACTACAGCTCTTATCAGATTTTTTATTTTCAGTGTGATTTGGTTGGAATGTTAATTACAGTTGGTTGACATGTGTTCACATTTGCATGACTTCCCTTTGGAGGCTGGTAGGTTGAGTATTCTTTTTATCCCACTTCTCTCTCCTAAAATGTTGGTCTCTGCCTTAGGGTCATGTTTTACTTTTCCTGGGCTGTGTTTCAGCATTGGAGGTTACAAAGCCAGTACACTGCTATCTGCCTGTACAGACCATATCTATTATTTTAGAAATATTTAAGTTTTATATGGGGTTTATCTTTTAGCTAGTCTCATCTGATATTGGTCCATTTTCAGTTGGAGGTAAAGTAGACTAACAGACAAAAAGAGGTCTGAGTGTGGCATAGTAAATAATAATTTTTGGATGAACCTTTTATTTTGGTGCCTGCTGGGTACAGTTAGTTAACTAGGTAATAATGTCAAATTAAATTGTAACTGTATTTGGCTTCTGTTTGAACCTTATGTAATTGTTAATTGTAGTAAGTTGAGATGATCATGTTTTAGATTTTTAAGGTCATTGTTTTCACTGTTAAAAGAATTATCTTTGCCCCTTTGTTCAGTAGTAAATACTTGCAGAGCTTTCTGGGGTCATCTTGTAGAGAAAGTTTGATAACTTCTGTCAGCATTTCAGGTGATGTCTAGCCCTCCATTGGTCGACATTTTGAGGTAGTAGTTTTTGTAAAAACAGCTTTGCACTTCGAAAGCTATTCTTACCTACCCTGTAACACTTGTTTTGGAGACAGTCTCACTATGTTGCTTAGGAGGGGCTCTTTCTTCAGCCTCTCAAGTCTCTTGTGGCCAGTCTCCCCCTTCCCCCCATCACCTACCCTCCTCCCTCTTTTTTCTTTGTCTAACTTGATTTGATAATTGTCCATTTATCCAACTCCATTTTGTTGCAGATGCTAAACTTTCTGAACAAAGCACTTCAACATAATTTTTTTGGTGCCCGTGTGTGTACACCTTGTGTTTCTCTGTCTTCCTCACAACTTTAATGATAGTCTCCATAGTGAAGACGGGACTGGTTAGTAGACTAAAAACCACGTAAAGTCAGTTTCCTGAAACACTTTTTTTGTGCAGTTCATGTTAGAATGAGGTGGACATGCCTGGGCTGGCCTTTACCTAATATTTGTGTCTCCATCCCAAGTGTTGGCTGTAGGTAGATGACCACAGTTAATGCTTTTCCTCCTAAAATATTTTAAGAGATGAATTTGTTGTTTGTGATTATTTTTAGAAGAGCATCCTTGTTTCAAGATTAACGGGTTTGGCAACAGTGGTTCATCATGTAATAAAATGGCTACCTGATCACCTTTAAAACTGGTTTTGATGTTAGGTTTGTTTATATGTGTATCAGTGCTCGTGTGGAGGAGGTCAAAGCAAACTGGTGAGAGTTTGTCCTCATTCTACAATGTGGGTCCTGGGGATTGAACTCTGGTCTCAGGCACAGCAGCAAATACCTTTACCTGTTGAACTGTCTTGCTGGCCACTTTAAGATCTACAACTTTAAGATCCCTACCATTTTTTTAATATATAATAAATTGCATTGGAATTTTGCTTTGCAGTGTGTAATCACTCTGCAGTGTTTTAATTCTTTGGGGGTATGTAGTGTGATGAAATGTGCATACCATGTTTTATAAGCTATGGGGCAATTTTCAAAATTTAAGGAATATTGGAAACTTAGAATACATTTTTGTCAGATTAGATGCGTTCAATCATCCCCCACCCCAACACCCACCTCCAGAATGTGGTTGAGTGGGAAGCATAACAGGCTTCATTGAGTTGTCAGTATAAGACTCAGAGTAAGTCATGTAGTATGTAAGCTCCAGTGTGATTCTTTTTAGAGATGGATGGTTAGTTCCCTCCTGTTTGAGAAGGAGCTCACACATGTTTTTATCTAAAATATTGGAGAGTATACTAGAAACTCCAATGTTTCTGGGACAGTTTGTTTGCTTTGAAAAAAGTACTTTTAGAGGAGTCTCATGCCAGATTTACTAGCCCTTTGATTTAGTAAGATTGGATTTACAGGCCTAGACTGTAAGTAGATGGATCTCCAGTTTACTCATTTTGGAACCTTTACAGGGGCAAAATTGTAGAAGCTGAAGCCCCAAATTTAGGGGAGGAGCATTCAATATTTTCCCTGTCTATAATGGAGATGGAACCCAGGGCCTTGTACAAATGTGTGGGCAAATGTTCTGTTCCTGAGTCATACTCCCATCTAGGAGTACTTGGTTCCCTTTGTCATCTGTTAGAGAGAGTCCAGGGATTAGACTGTACTATCATTTAAGATTTCAGTGCTTTGTTTTTCAAGACAGGATCAAGATCTCACTTTTTAGGCCAGACTGGTCTAGAAATCACAAGAATCCTCACACTCAGCCTCCCAGGATCTGAGATAATCGGCATGGAGTGCTCATTTTTGAGACAATGCCTTAAACTGGGACAAGTTCTCTTTGAGCTTAAGTGACACCTTGTATAAATGCATATACAGTCTCTGTAACGTAGCCTGGGTAGTGTTAGGTATGTAATATCTCATGTATATCTATGCATCTATGTATGTATGTACGTACGTACGTACGTACATACCTACCTCACAGTTCATTTCACTATCACTTAAGGCCACTAGGGATGATAACTAATGATTTTTAGCTTTAGGTGATAGTAGAAGCCGTGCCTGAGAATATTAAAAAAAAAAAAAAACAGAATGACTTTCTCATTTTACTTAATGGTTGTGTGCTTTGAATGTGCATGTTAACAAATGGAGTGATATTCGAACTGGTTAGTTTGTTTGATTTGACTATAGTTGTGCTTTAGTGTTATAGCAGTAGAACACTAAACTGATGCAGGAGGCCTGGGATTTGTTTCTGTTACTTCCAACAGTGTGGTCTCAGGTAATAGAACATGTTTTTACTTGGCTTTCTGATCCATTTGCTGGAAACAATGCTCACCATAGGAAGACTGACTACACAGCCTACTTTCATGTCTTGTGTGTATTTATCTATTGCTCTAATAGTTGCTACTGCCAGTGATTTACTCCTGTGGAGTAAAGGTAAGCATATTTTAGTTTCTGGAGTGTTAAAGTAGTATGTTCATGCTATGTATTTGAGAGTATTTAAGGGTGGGGGAAGACTTCATACTGGCCTATTTGTCCAGTAGTCATAGTGACAGCTTTAAGTATTGTGTTCTATACTGAAATACTTACCTGTATTTGGCCACCAAAATGAATGAATGAATGAATAATGAATGGGGTCAGAAAACCCATCTATCTCCACTGTAGTCTAAGAGGCAGAGGAAAATGTCAGAGATATACTGAAGAAGTGGCCAGTAAACAGATATCTTGGAAATGAACTTCAGATTTTTTACTACATTAAAGAGTAACGTGGCCGGGCGGTGGTGGCGCACGCCTTTAATCCCAGCACTTGGGAGGCAGAGGCAGGTGGATCTCTGAGTTCGAGGTCAGCCTGGTCTACAGAGTGAGTGCCAGGACAGGCTCCAAAGCTACAGAGAAACCCTGTCTTGAAAAACAAACAAAAAAAAGAAAAGTAAACATCCATTTGTTTCATTAGTGTTATCTAAGTTGATACCCAGTAGAATTATAATATTGCAAATAGGTAGTGGTCTTAGTTAACCCAAACCTTACCTCTAGGTTAAGGAGACATCAGTCTCTGTGAGTTTGAGGCCAGCCTGGTCTACAGAGCGAGTTCCAGGACAGCCTCCAAAGCCACAGAGAAACCCTGTCTCGAAAAACCAAAAAAAAAAAAAAAAAAAGTTTAAAATCTTACTTTGAATTGCTTGCTCTTATGTGTTAGTCTTGAATAATAGGATCCTTTTTCACACTTAGCTTTAAAATACCAAAAGTAGAAAACAGGGAGGAATTGCTTTGTGTGTTTAATAATGGACAGATAATATTGGGGTGTAGTTTTACTGACTAGCTAACCTTAATACAGCGGTTAAAAAAGTAGTTTTCAAGTGCCGTAAACCACATCAGATACAAATCTTGTTACTATTAAGTTTGCCAGGGTCGTTTCCAAGGGTCATTTATATAGATTGTAAAGTCACTCCCTACCAAGTGGTAGTTCCCCAGTGTTAAAAAGTAACTATTGATTATGTTTAAAATAAATTCATAATTTCTAAAGAAAATGCTCTTTTTAAAAAAATTATTATGCATGCAGTGTTCTATTTGCACATCTACCTGCATGTCAGAAGAGGGAGGAGGGCACCAGATCTCATAACAGATGGTTGTGAGCCACCATGTGGTTGCTGGGAATTGGACTCATGACTTCTGGAAGAGCAGCCAGTGCTCTCCAGCCCAAGAAAATGCTCTTTAATACATACTAGTAAAACTGTTTTTCAGTCTCTCTTTCCCGTTTCATCTCTGGGGGACTGGAAGGCCACCCCAGAAGTGTTGTATCCATTAAAAAAATGT